CCAATCCGCTCCCTCATCGCCTCGTCCATACTCTCCTGCGAATTCCACGTCAAGCGTGGAGTTCCTGCCCAGTCGACACAAATTGTAATTGCTATATAATTTGGGAGTAATAATTTATATAACAAATATTTCATGACATTTATATTGCAATTACATCTATTTACTGCTTTCTTTTATATAATATAAATGTGCAAATGCTACATATTACTTACATAAAATGAATGCGATGGTTCAACATATAACCAATATTACAACATAATATTATAGCAATATAAAGTTAATATTATTTATGAGTTGTATAATACTATCATATTATATAGAATTAAATCATTGAAATTACATATATTTTATATTTTATTGCAATATGTATTTAAAACATATAGTTCTTATATTTTAATTACATAACGCAGGTATATTTATTTAGTATCATATTAACATCGTTTTTATTACATTCTAAAATTCATAATAAAATACGCGTCATATAATAATTAATGTACAAGAGCTAATAAATAGTAAATATTTTGAGTACATATATTTCGATCGTATATATTAATTTATGTATATATATATATAGATATGTATAGCTCCCTGCATCTTGATGGGCGCGGAAACTTTTGCCATTGTGAGCGTTAATGTAGTATTACATATATGAGTAGAACGCGCTCAAGACAGCCGGCATATCCAATAAACGTACAATTCTTCTGGAAAAGCAATACGTTGATCCGATATCACGCGTCGCATGATGCATATCGCGTCGCAAATCGCGCTGGTGTGCCGGAGCCATTAGCGCCAAGCTGGCCGAGCGCGGCGTCACTTTTGGTGGGGTAAAAGAGGGGCTGATTCTCGCCGTTGCGCAGGAATTTCCCGCCAATTTCCCATGATGTGATCGATCATGATCGATGGTCTTTTTATATTATGGCCGTTTAGTTGTGTTGTGATCGGTTCTTTATAAAGAAAACTTTTAATGGGTAAGTTTTATTATTTATGCATATCTACTGGATTTAATTTAGAATGTAAAAGGGATAATGTGTTATGTTTTAATATTAGATTGCTGTTATTATTTGATTTATACATGAGATTCTTCAGATTATCAAGGATTAAATTGATATCTAACCTATATATTTTCCAGTTCTTTCTCGCCATCTATAAAATAGCACGTGTCGTACATCGATCAGCATTTCGTATTTAATTGATATCGAGATCTTAAATCTTTGACGAAATCAGAAATCTCACAAAAAAACACTTTAAGCGAAATAACGGAAATAACCTATTGGAGGCATTGGTAAAATTATTCGATCACATAAAAGGTAAATATATATATATATCTACATGGGCTACGTTCCAATTAACTTCGATCCTCTCCGAGGAAAATTTTAGTCGAAATATGTAGTATACGTAACGTATATATACTACAGCATATAAAGTAAAATCTTCTCCAGAGAGGAAGTTTTGGAACGTAGCCTTGAGTTATATTATTATGGTAAAAATTAGACTACAAATTTAAATACATCAATATTTATTTTACTACTTTTTATCTTATTCCCAGTCAAAAATTGAAAATCTTGTGGCCTCATTATTTGTATTTAAGCCTATATTTATATAATTGTTAAAAATGTACGTAATAATGAATAGTAATGCCTGCATTTAACGTTATATGTATTATAGAAGGTTAGAAGTCATTTTTTTAAGAAGTATATTTGAAAAGAAGTACGATTTTTCACAAATACATCGAATTTTTTTTACTGTGTACAAAACTGTGTAAACTTTCTTTTTCTAAAATGTTCTACTTTGAAATTAAAAAGCTTATGAAAAACAGATAAAAGAGAAAATTGTAGTGTGTTTGAATTATATACATTTTTTCAAAATTTTTGAAAACTTTCTCCAACGATCAATATCTTTGTGAAAAATGGTATCAATTTTTATTATAGGCATTTTAAAGCTTGAAAAGTCTACTTTAAAATACTTGTATTATAAATTTAATATTTTATTAAATGCAGCGTGTAATACAATCTTATTCGTAATATAAATAATATAGTAACGTTAGTTATCCACATAGGATTTGTTACAGGAATAATGCCAAAATCATTACATTTATTATCAAAAAGACGAAGACAGCAATTAATTAAGTATGAAATTGCAAGCCATCAATACTCGTCACCAACAATATCGCATGAAAAAAATTTAAAAAGTATTGGCTCAAATAACTTGTTATCAAATGACTTACATTTACATTATCTTAATAATTCTGATGATAAGTGTATTTATGAATGTTATTCTAAAGTAACAGAGAATGAGAGAGAAATAGAGAGAGAGTTCAGAAAGATAGATGGGACTGATGATGATATTAATTCAAATGACAGTTACGAAACGTATGAAAAAAAATTTTTGAAGAATCTAATTTTTATAATACTCCTTTAAAAGACTTAAATATAGATAATACTCAAGAAACTAAAACAAACGATTTATTGAAAGATTTGCGCGATTGGATATTACAATTTAATATTGACAGAGCCGCAACAAATGCTAACTTAGCTATTTGGAACAAATATGGTTTTGATGTTCCTACTGACTATCGTACTATAATGAAAACACCACGACTTACTAGTGAACTTATTTCTACAGTAGGAAGTGGAATTTATAGCCATTTTGGAATTGAACTTGGAATTAAATCTCAAATAAAACTAATTTTTTGTACACCTCCCGAGGAAATCAAAATTAATATACATATCGATGGATTACCTTTAACTAACAGTTCTAAAAGTGATTTTTGGCCCATCTTAGGATCGATTTGTACAAATTCACTAAATTATACAGAACCTTTTGTTATTGGTATTCACCATGGCAAAAGCAAACCCGAAAACTCAAATGATTTCCTCAGACCATTTGTTGATGAAATGAAAAATTTGAATCAAAATGGAATTAAGATTAATGGACAAGTAATTTCTATTAATATAAATGCTATTCTTTGTGATACTCCTGCTCGGTCATATGTCTGTCAAATTAAGGGTCATACTGGATATGAAGGATGTTCTAAATGTATTCAGGAAGGACATTTTATTGAAAACAGAATGACATTTCCTGAAATACACTCTACATTAAGAACTGATGAATCATTCAGAAATAAACAGTATCCAGATCATCATACAGGAAATACTTATTTAGAAGAGTTAAAGATTGACATGATTAAACAATTTCCGCTTGACAGTCTGCACTTAGTATACTTAGGTAATATGAAACGTTTAATTCAATTTTGGTATAAAGGATCTAAAAACGTTAGGCTTGAAGGTAATACTTTTGCAGTAATTAGTGAAAAATTAGTTACAATGTCTGAATTTATTAGTAAAGAATTTGTAAGGAAACCGCGACATATGACTGAAATTGATCGATGGAAAGGAACAGAACTACGTCAATTTTTGCTTTATACAGGACCAATTATTTTACTCAATATGCTACCTGAACATACGTACATACATTTTCTAAGTCTTAGCACAGCTATTAGAATATTAAGTGATGAGAGATTATGTCAAACGCTAAATCAATATGCTCATGAACTTTTAATGTGGTTTGTTTCTGAGTATAAAAATATATATGGAAGTAGTAACGTAATATATAACGTTCATAATTTAGTACATTTGGCTAGTGATGTAAAAAATCTTGGCCCTCTAGAAAGTTTCAGTTGTTTTAAATACGAAAGCTATTTAGGTAAAATAAAATCAAAAATACGAGCAAGTGGTAAATCTTTACATCAAATAATTAATCGACTATATGAGGAAACTTTTGTTAATAAAAATAAAACTTTCGTGGCAAAATCATATCCAATTGCATTATATCGAAATTTAAATGGTAAAACTATTGTAAAATGTATACAATATCGTACTTTTACGATATCTAAACGTCATCCTGATAATTATTGTCTTTTAAAGAACGGCTGCAATGTTATTGTACATGATATTTATACTTCTGACATAGAAGTTGACGGAGATAATAGTAAAATAGAATTAAAAGTGTCGCAATTTCTTTCTCCAAAATCTTTTTATCATTCGCCATGTAATTCTAATATATTAGGAATATTAATCGTAAATAAAAACAATGTGTCTGATCACTTTACTATTGAGCCAGTAGATATTATTACCAAATATCTACTATTTCCAATAGAAAGTGATAAAGGAACATATGTTTTATTGCCTATGGTACATACTTATCATAATTAAGGTTGCTAAAGCAAGGTTGGTGAAGACTAATGTTTTTTTTAAGAATGAAACATACTGTGTTTCTTTTTAAATACATTTTTAATGCTTCAAATATGTTTTAAACAGTACTACAAAAAAACATATTCAAAAGATATTAAAAACATCAATTTAGCATATTTTATGGCTATTCTACAATGTGCTTTTTGTTTCCTGTTTCTTGCTGTTTGTCCCTTGTCTTCTTGATCAAAAAGGCAAGAGACAAACAGAGACAAACAGCAAGAAACAGGAACCAAAAAGCACATTGTAGACCAGCCATAAAATTGTTTAAAACATGTTTTTTACCAACCCTGTAATTAAGCAAATAATATTAACAGAAAAAATCGTCAATAAATATAAAATAAATTGATAATAATATACAACAATTTTCTGTTATTTTTTAAACTGCAGTTGTGTTGATTTTATTAATCATGGTCAATTACGATCAACCATTCGCCATCGCACGTTTCTTAGAAAGCGATACATTTTCTGAAGTCCCAAGTAATTGGTTATACGAAGAAAAAAATAAAATTTTATGTTGGTGGCCAGTAAAAGTAAAAAATGTCACGTCTTATATATCAAATCGTATACCACCAGATGAGTCAACGTGGGAAATGTGCGAGGTTGAAATAGAAACCTATTGTGGTAAAATAACATATCCTTTTCTGACATAATGAAGCAATATAAGAGAAAATGCAATTATTAAAATCTATAAAATTATTTTACAGATACTTGGGAAAAAGCAAGAAAAATAGCGGATGACCCCATGTATAGAACTACGGATGATGAGGATCTTGGCAAAGGCCGTCGAACAAAAATCAATAACACTAGATTTCAGTTCTTCGCCAGAAGATTCAATAAAGAAAAATGAAATCACTAAAAGTAATAAAGTAAAAAAAGGGCGAATACTCATAATGTTTGTATTTTTTACTTATATTTGTACCTATAACTTACATCAATCTTTAATATAATTTTAATATAACTGTTTAAAATATAATTTTAGCAATTATCACAAGTTGTATTACTGTTCCACCCATGTTAACTACAAAAGATATTGAGAGCAGTAATATTATTTTTGACGGAAATATAAATGTTATAAATGCAGCCGATGGTAAGTTAAATTCAATAATATAGCTCAGTGACAATAAACCTTATATGTTATAATTTTCCACTCAATAATGTGAGTGTTACAAATAATGCATATTATATCGTTGAATGGTAAATTGTAACTTACATGTAAATTTACTGTTATTTGGTATTTATAACAAAGTTATTAGTTGTTGCGAATTTTTTGTTCAAAATAATAAAATTCATTAATTAATTTTTATTTTTAACTTTTACATTTTATTTTTAAATATACTAAATATAGTTTTATTATTTTTAATATAATATTAAAATACTTACAAATACTTATATGAAATATAAATATTAAGTTGTTCCTAAATAATAAATGTCATTAACATTTTTATTACAGCCAATTCATTTCCTGTAACATGTGATAATAACCTGGAATCCGATAAAGAAATATTACAGATAGCGCGAGATATTGCTATCATTAAAGGTATTCCACAAATTCTAATTTTACATGAAAATAGATTGTGAATTTTGTATATATACTTTTAAAATATTTCACTTCTTAAATCGAAAAATTATTTTTTACTTCTTTTTTACTTTTTTTTTAAATTGCAAAATTCATTTACGTCTTTTTAAACTAACCAGATAATAACTTATCTATAATTAAATGTAATTAAATTTTTTTAGAAAATGACGATGTAGATATTTAAATTATTTAAATTATGATTTTTCTCTTCCTTAGATATACGAAGTTTTCGAAACCCTCCAAGTTTTAATTTTAATATTTAAATTCTCGTCACTATGTATAAGATTGTTATAATTTTAACTTTTAATTTTTTACATTTCTCAGGGCAATATGATACAATATGTCGTATGCATGCTTCACTTCTGGTTACATGTAAAAATATTGATGAAAGATTAAAGAAAATGGAGCGCAAGCATGTAATACCTTCTGGAGAAGTGCAATATCAACTACTTCGTCCATTATTGCCATTAAAATGTCTTCAACATATTAATAATTTCGAAGAACTTATCACAACTAATGATTCAGCCCTTTCTCAGTATGTAAGTATATGTAAGTTTTTCATGATAATTAATCAATATAAATTAATTATTATAAATAACAACGAATTAAAAAATTAAATTCTTTTTTTTAGAGAAGTTTTATCTCTAATATTGGAGGCTACACAACGAAAGATAACATTCATAGGATTTCAAAAAAAGTTTTCTCCGATGAATGTGCTAAACTTTGTTCATGGAAAGGGAAAAAAAATAATTATGCTATGTATAATTTATAAATAATCACAGAAATTAATGCAGCTGTTGTTTCATCTCATAAATTAAAAGAAATCGAATTTGAAGACGTTGCTGCAGAGTGGTTTCGTTTTGCAAAACAACGAAGTAAGAAAAAATTAGAATCAACACCGAAGGAAGTACCACCAAAGGAAGTATCAACAAAAGAAAAATAATATGATTATTTATTCGTGACTTTTTTAATATCTCATTTCATTTGTGATTATTAATGATACTAGTTTTTTGTTACATTGAGATATATATATATATATTGTTCTATGATATTTTTAAATTTATACCTAAGGTAATGAATAGCAATTTTTTATGTCTTTCATGCAATCAAGCAAATAAAAGCTAACATATAGTTTTCAGAACATGCAACTTTTTTGTTATTAAATGCAAAATTATATATTTTTATCATTTATCAATTGTGATATTATTGATATTATGTATGTGCTAAGAATTTCTACGATGCTATATTTGTACGCACTAGAAAATTTAATATAAGAAATGTTTTTTGAAATAACGCGTGTTTAAATAAAACTGAAAGTTTGATACATACAACCAATTTTAGATTTAAGAAATTTTCAAATTGACAAAATTTCGAATAAGTGTGCCTTTAGCTTAGAACATATACTACACCACACTTGACGATGTCTGTCTTAAGCGGATGCAGTCTCCCAATATATACCTCGAAAGCATTTCCGAAGACGATCAGACTTCCAACAATTATACATCCAATTGTATATACAATTGTATATGTGTAGTATATGTTCTAAGACATTACTCTATTTAATTTTTATATCATTTATTTCTTCTATATATTATAAATATATGCATAATACTTGTAAAATAAAATCTTTTTATTGTAATATAATATAACGATTATTTTTCTATTAATATGAATACATCATTTTACAATCATAATTATGCCTTAT